TGGACGTCCTTCGTCGCGGCGCTGTGACGTATGCGGCCGATGAATTCGACCTTCGGAGGACCCGTCCTGCCGTTTTGGACACAGCCTATATGTATATTAGCTTGGGTGCTAACTCCAAATAAAGCCGTATATGTATATTAGCTCGGGAGCTAACTCCTAATAATGCTATATATGTATATTAGCTCGGGTGCTAACTCCAAATAATGCTATAGATGTATTAGCTCAGGAGCTAACTCCAAATAATACAATATATGTATATTAGCTCAGGAGCTAACTCCAAATAATGCTATATATGTATATTAGCTCAGGAGCTAACACAAAAGCTAAAAGGCTAAAGATGAGGTGAACAGCTCTGGTGTCTTCCATCATTTTCAGTTTCAGTCATTTCTACTCCTCTCATGCAAAAGGACTAAAGTTTTACTCTGCCCTGACCATTTTTGTCTAGATATTATTTACTTGTTCCAAATTTTTTGTATATCCTGTTCTGATTGTATATCTCTTAGATTTACCTCTGATTGTACAGCACCTTGTGAATCTATTACTATGAAAGGTGCTATATAAATAAAACGTTGCTTTACTTTACTTACTGAAGTTCAGACATTTTCTTAAATTAACCTTCAAGCTCAAAAATGTCCTCTTTTACTCAGAATGCTTTCATGTTAATAAAATGGCAACGCCTATGTGAAAATATGTATTTTAATTTATAAAAATTAAATACAGTAATTTTAGTCTTGTTTTTATAGTTGATATAAATGTTTATCAGATAATGGATAATGTTACAACTGAATAGGGTTCCCTTTAACGTCAGTTGACTGTTTTATCTTAAATCAAGTTGACTCCAGAAGGTAAAATCTCTGTCCAATGTTTACTTTCTTCAAGTTTTAATAAGCTTGGTCCAGTAGTTGAGTTACTGTTATAACAGACATATGATTGATTTGATTTGCTTTATTTATTTAACAGGAAAAGATTATTAAAAATCAAGCCTGACTCAGCATAATTGCTGTTTTACAGCAGGTTCCTGTTCTGCAGCACATAAAACACTCAGAAATACAGCATCACAATCACATCATTATACACCATAGACACAAAGACAAACAAGCATACCAAATTTCAGGAAGGTAGCATTTGCAAAATAGGACGTCTAAATATGAGCACAACAAAAAGTGTCCAGCAGATGGCAGACAAGATTCTTC